GAAGGGGGGGGGGGAGAAGATGCACGGCATACTGTCTAACGGCTTTGCCTCTGCCGACAAAGGGGGTCTTGCCTGCGATTCCATTGCCCTTGCCCCTGCCCATGCCCAGGCCTCTGGAGCTGGAGAGGGTGCTTGCGCCCGAGGAGCGAGGCGTGACCAGACTGCGTGTACGGGAAGAGGCGGGGCCACCGCGCGCGGCGATGGTGGGAGGCATGGCGGGTGGATTTGGGATTACTGGATTTATCAGTGAGGCGAGGTGGTGATGCAAAGAGGCTCGAGGTGGGATGGGCGAGGGCGGGCGCGGCGCGACTGGGTGATATTTTGCAGGATTCAAGTGGCGCGGGGGTTTTCGAAGCTGTAGAGAAGACGAGATAAAGCTGCTGGAGAAGGGTTTGAGAAGGCAACGACTGTTTTTCAACTTTCACATCACTGCTGTCGCGTCATGTGATCGTGATGGTGAGTTGAAAGTGAAAACGATCTGAGATGCAGACCCACACCAGGCGGCTGAGGTAAACAAACTGTCAGGCACATCCCCGTGGTGGTCACTGGACCCACGTTAATCGACTACGGCTGGGTACCTCAAGTGACCTTAGTTGTCACTCTGTAGTAATAACTCCTTAATCTCGTCAAGGCTGTAATGTGTTTAATATAGCTTTACATGACCTAAATAATTACTGGGACTTTCAGTATAATATAGTCAAGTGTGGAATTAAGTACCCTTTAAGATTCGGCTTTAATTGGATGAAATCCCTACCGGTACGAACTTGCAGCCTTGACACACCCGAGGGCATTAAACTGGTCCGTCAATGTGTAGTGAGTGCAACTTGGGCCAACGACCCGACGACACCTCATTTTACATACGGCTGATTTCATCTTCCAACCGTTCCTTTATCTTTTTCCTAAGTGCCGATTGAGAAATGTACGTTGTGACAAAGATGTGTTGGTTTGACATGGCTGCGAGCTCAGTTACAGCAAGTGATTCCCACACAAGTCGGCTCAAGCATCCACCACTCAAGATTTGAATTCGTAGCACTTTTATGCGATCCGCTCTAGTCGATACCCTTTGAGACCCTATACGCCAACAACTCCACGTCTTCTAGACTGCCCTGTCGCTGGCGGCTGCGCTAACACGGCAGGAACAAGGCCCTCGTCCGAAGGTATCTAATGGTATCAATTCATTTGCTTTTTTATTCCCAGTTTCCCCGCGCCATTTTGGTTTGTAATTCCATCCACATGAGCCTTGCCAGGCGATCAATAAACAGCCAAAAAAAAAGAAAAGAAAAGAAAAAAGACATGACGTGCATTAATAAATAATACAAAACAGTCGTGTTATCCACAACTGTCCATACTGTTGCGTACAACCAGGGCCGATAAGCTCGCCTTGTCGTATGCCAAATTATTATTGTATATGTCGTATAGGTCAGCAATACGCAAGAGCCACGCAAGAGGCCCAAAAAAAGGGGGGAACACGGCCTTCGTGGATGACTCGTCGCGATCAAGTTCAAGGGGGGAAAGTCATTATCATGAGCATGACGCTGTTCTTGTTAGGACGCTGAGGCTGCAGGCACCGCATCTTCGATAGCGGCTTCGTCAATCGTTTCATTGGTCTCTTCGACGGCCTCGTTGATAGTCTCCTCGGCAGCCGGCTCTTCCACTGCTGAAGCTTCTGCCATTGTCTCTTCTACGAGAATTGGCCCTTCAGGTTGCTCTTCCCTGTGATATTCAGGTTGCTCTATTTGGGGTTCGGCTTGTGGCTCTGGCTGTTCTTCCTCTGCCATCGGCGTAGGAACTGCTGCAGGTGCATCGTCACCAATACGGGGCTTCTTGTTCGGGCGCTCTACGTCACCACCGAGGGCATCCTTGACTGCCTTCAGCTCCAGCTCGAGCTCGTCCAAGCGCCGTTTCAAATTATTCTCTCGGCGGTGGCTATCTTCGAGCTGGGCCTGCAGTTGGGTAACAGTCTCCTGGCTTGCATCCAGCTGCGTTCTAAGTTGCGTCTGTTCAACACCAGCAACTTCTTGGCCGTGCCGGGCGGCTGCTTCTTGTTGCTCGAGTTGGCTCAGCCGGCCCCTGAACAGCTCATTGATGACCTCAAGCTCGCTAACTCTGGTCTTGAGACTAGAGTTGTGAGCAATCAGCTGTTCATGAGTTTGCGGCGCATCTCGATCGCCGTTCTCGGAGGACCCGTTGAAGCTGCCCCCTTGATAGGGGTCATCAACCATGAATGAGGGCAGTCCCTGGTTGTACATGGAAGGTGTGCCGGTGCGAGAGATGGGAGAGTCGGATCCCTCATTCCCGTTCGACTTTTGCGACGTCCGACGAATAGCTTGAGCTGCGGCAGCGGCATTCTGCGCCGATAGGGCGGCACCACTCACATCGGCGCCAAGACCAAAGTTCTGAGCCTGCTGTTGTTGGGCCTAAAAAAAAAAGAAAAAGAAAGGGTTAGAAGTTGTTCAGGCACAGTGTTGAATGCGCAAGAGAGGGAAATACCTTTTTCTTGGCTGCAAGATCGGGTCGCATCGTCTTGACGCGATTACGGCTCTTGATAACGTCGGTCTTCAATGAGATGGGCCGCGGGCGGCCATGCAACTTGAGGAAGAGACCGCAGGCATTACAGAGCACGGAGCCATATTCATCGCGACGCCACAATGGAGTTGTCGACGTTGTGCAATTTTGGCAGGTCGGCTGCGTAGGTGAAGTGTTAGTGGCCATCATGGTGCCGGTGGTGCGCTGGGGAGTTGCGTGGGTGGTTTGGGGTATTCCAGGGCGATAAATAGGTATCTATCGTGATCGATAAGGTGACGATGCAGAGGAAAAAAACTTTTGGTCTCCCGCATGCGCCCGACTGATAAGGCGCGATAAGCAAGCCACGTTTTGCGAAAGCGGCCGAAGTGGCAGTCCGGGATTACCTACAATGCCGCACGTGACCCACTCTCATCTCCAGCGATAAAGGAAAACAAAAGTCAAAAGTCGCGGCTCCATAATACTGGCTCCATGCTGGGATTTTCATGGTGCGGACCGGAGGTATTTGCCATCTGCTTATCGACAATCAAGCAACGAGATCCTCTCGGAGCTCCATACACAGTCTAGGAGACATCCAAAATAGGCATGTCGCTTCTCTCAGGCTTATTGGGGGGGCCGGTGTTTGCGATTGGTGTATTAAAGGATCGTGGGACCAGCAAACTCACCAAATTGCCATTGCCATTGCCATTGCCATTAGTTGCAGCCGGCGGTGTGGCACCAGTGTAAGTTGGATTCTGCGGTGCTGCGGTGGCTCTAGATAAAAGTATTAGCGAGGGTTTCTGAATATTCATGCGGCATGCTCGATAACGAGAGCAGGCAATTCTAGACTTCTGAGCCAGTATACAACGCCTCCTGCGAGGGGCGGCTCAAACTGGAGGATATGCCTTGACACATGCCATTTCGTTTCTCTTCTCTGATGACGTCTAAAAAGGGGTCCCATACCTAAGTTGCGGCGGACTCTGCGCAGCGTTGCTTACCGCGAGAGCAGAGATGGCAGGGAGCTGTTGCAAATTTGCGGACACCGAAGTCGAGGTCGAACTGGGTCGCGAGATAGGCTCGCTCGTTTGTGGCAGTGTCGATGGCTCCTCCATCATGATAATGAATGTTATGATGTGTTTCGTCAGTTGTGACTATTTTCGAGAGACGAAATCCTCGATCGAGACAGATCGAGGGCGTAGGCGGGCCAGGATGGCGCGCTCGCGTCTCCTGACGGCGGTATTGACTGGGATCCGACGAGAAATGCGCCAACAAGCGAACGTTCAGCACGCGCAAGAAGAACGTTTCGGGATATGAAACTGGGCGAGATTGGGCTGCGAGCTCGGTGAAGAGACGAGGCTCGGTTCGACTCGGCGGCGCGATACAGTAGTAAACTTTTTCTTTAAGGGCGAATGAAGGTTGAATGGCCGTGGGAAGCAGCACCTTTGGCAAAGACGATGCGGGAAGTTCAGAGGCGCTTGGAAGAGGGAAACAGGAAATCACTGCGCGGCTCAAATGAGGGCGTCGAGAGTCATTGAAAATTGGATTTTGACAACACGAACAAGAAGACATGGAAGCAAACACGAAACAGCGGCGTGGGTATTCAGGTCCAGATGATCAGTGAGTGTGCCTAGGAGCTTTACGCAGTTACAGTGGCAGGCCCCTGTAAACGTTGAACTCGCAGCACTAAGGTAGCGCCGATGCTCCCCCCTTTGTTAGGCACCACCAGGCTAGGACGGTTAATTTGATATCTGGGCACCAAATTTCAGCAACTCTTTCCGCCTGCGGCTAGTAGTAGCTGACATACACGCATGTGCATGTGGACACCTGGACCAACTGCCATGACATGAAGGCACGTGAGACAGTGTCTGGCCCTTTTGATGTCAGCTTGCAGGACTGAGCCTATCAACCAGCAGCTTCGTCTCCATTTCGATGCGCCAATGTTGTCTGGTGCGGCCCCTGTGCAGCAACAGCAGTTACAGCACAATCGAAATCGGCCATCGAGAGCGGCAGCCCCACTCTTCATTATGATCCGGCTCTTGGCGCCGTGTGATGCTCTTAAGACTGCCGCTTCCATGTCAACCAGACATTGGTGCCAGCACCCCGCCTGGCGTCAATCAATTTGGCTCCCCAGGTGCCCTCCGATGGCACATGCAGCGGTGAAGCGAACCCTGTGTTCCAGTGCTCCAGTGCTCCAATGCTCAACGACATCGTAGTTTTATTAGTCTCCAGTCCCACCCTCTCGTCCACCTCCTACCTCGTGCATCATCAGATTCCTCACACGGGTATTCCACTTGGATTTTTTTCATCCTAAATCCCTCATCTTCTCACTCTTCCTCCTCCACGGCAGGCAGCCCAGTTTTAGAATGTTCAATTGGGCAAAAAAACAGTATGTCAGGCTCTTTGCTATCCGTCATGCCACTTTGCTTCATCTCTGGCGTCGCCCGCTGTTCCCCGCCACTGTGCATCGCAAGTCACCCAGCTAACCATCGGTCGTTGTCGTTGTTCCATCTTAGGTTGGCCAACGTCGCCGGCACTCAGGAGCCCATCTACGGCGCTTCGGCGATCAGGTCCGTGGCTGAAGAAGCCAAGGAGACTCCCTTTACCGAACTAACCCGCGATGACTTGAAGTGGGTGGCCATGGAGTCGACCTGTGTCGAGACCCAGAGCTTCTACCTGGTGTCGGATGAGGGCCACATCGGTCTTGTACAGGTCATCTACAGCAACGTTGCGTAAGTCTACCCGGTCCTGAGTAAATATTCAGTCACCACATACCATGTTCCCTCCGTCCCCCTCTCTCTTTCTTTCTTCTTTTTCCCATTCTGGCGTGCTAACGCGCCGCGCTCTGAGTTCAGTGGTATGCGGACTACTTGTCAGTTCAACTCCAAGATCTTCTCCAAAGACCCTTCCAAACCCCACCTATGGTGCTCAACCCCTCTGAACAACTTCGAATTCAACGAGGACAAGACCTCTTGCTACGCCGACGACTGCGCGCTCGAGCTCTCTGAAGATGGAAACGAATACACGATCAAGAGCATGAACGACCAGAGGTCAATCGTTAACCTCAAGATCACCAGGACTGCTCCTGGTTTCAAGGCCGGCAAGAGCGGGACGACAAAGTACGGCACCGACCTCGAGAACCCCTGGGGAACCATGGGCCACGCTTTCTGGCCTCGCTGTGCTGCCGAGGGCACCATCACCACCCCCGATGGCCCCATCGACTTCAAGGGCCGGGCCATGTACTCGTTCGCTCTGCAGGGCATGAAGCCGCACCACGCCGCCGGCAAATGGAACTTTGCCAACTTCCAGGGTCCCAACTACTCGGCCATCATGATGGAGTTCACCACCCCGCCTTCTTACGGGTCAACATTGGTCAATGTTGGAGGTATTGTCAAGGATGGTCAGATCATCACCGCGGGCCCCGGCCACGAGGCCATCCATACCGACGTCAAGAACGATTCGGAGAATGAGTGGCCCGAGCCCAGTTCTGTCAAGTTTGAATGGACAGGCAACAAGACGGACGCCAAGCCCGTCAGTGCTGTCCTGGAAGGGCCCCTCGGAGAACGGACGGACCGCGTGGACGTCATGGCTGAGGTACCTGGCTTTGTCAAAACGATTGTGGCCGCGGCGGCGGGAACCAAGCCATACATTTATCAGGTAAGGATGTCTCTTCTTTTAACCCTTTCCGATGTAACGTAGTCATATCGGCTCACTCACAAGTTGTAGTATGCGCCAAAGATGACCCTCAAGCTCAAGATTGGAGACGAAGAAATCACCGAAGAGGGCCAGCTATTCATGGAAGCTACGTTTATCACCGAATAAACTCAACTGAGACCAACCACCCAATTGGCGGGGAAGGAAATTGACAACAATAAGGTTTAATTGTTTGCGCTTCGAAGAGACGGAAGAAACGACTGCATGCATCATCGTGTTGGGTAAATACACTCTAATAAATGAGAGAAGAGGCGTTGGAGACGGCATTGGTCACTCCCTTTGATATATCCCTTCTTGTTCCTAGCATACCGGAGAAACGCTTGATCTTTTTTTTTCTTCTTAGGTTTTGTTTTGGTACTATGCCGGGCATTATACAGGTACAATATTTAATACCAACGCTGCACTGGACTCTTTTTCGCGCGCGGTGAGGATGGCACCAAGGCAAATTTCGACATGACAGATTCGGCCATGAGAATGAAGCAGCGGTTCCTCTTGGGTCCTCTTGTATTCCCAAAGTAAAAATAAAAACGGCCATGGCTGCTCCCGGCCACATCGAACGACGTTGCCGAATTCCCGCAACCGGACGGGCGCCAACCACACAAAGCCAAGAAACAACACCTCCACCATCACGGCACGCAGCCAACACCCACCACGCTTTGTGTACGGAGTAAATAAAGCGCAATGGCAAGTCGCGCGCAGCATGTTGCAGAAAATAGAGACTCGGTATTATCGCCATCATGCCGGGATCTAGCCGTATAAAAGAAGAATCTGTCCTCCAGTTAGCGGATGCAAAGTGATTTTCCGCGCCATCAATGGTGCTCAACCACCCGCCATCAAACGAGATCCCACACGCCGCATTCCAGCCGCGCAACAAAAGCATATCCGGCACGAAATCGTGCAACAAGGTTTCCGGGCTTGAAAGCCGCGCCCCGTGTTTTCAAAAAAAGTCCCATTGATGTGTTTATTTTTGTCCCCTCCCCCCCCATTCCGCTTCTTTATCCACCTCGTTGCTGTCTTGCCTTATTTCACTTCTGTTTTATTATTTGTTATTTTTTTCGTCTCTTTATCATTCCTTATTCACTCGCTGTCCTGGATTCCATAGAAATGTCGGAGCCGCACGAGCCCGAGTTCCCGTCGCCGCTCAACCCGCGCCGCACTGCGCCGGTGCGCGCGCGCCAAGCGAGGGCCAGGACGAACGTGAGCGTGAGCCCTACGCAGCGGCTGCTGAGGAACAGGGCCGCCGAGGCGTGGCGGTCGTACAAGATGCTGCAGGAGGCCCGGGAGTACGAGAGGCGGCTGATGGAGACGATTGCTTCGAGAGAGGTACGTTTTTTGGGGGATGTTGACCCCTTCAGTATACCGGGTGACGTGGGTGTTGACGTGCTTGGCTTTGGAACAAGGCGGCTGGGCTGCGGCCGGACGGCAAGACGCAGCCGCTCGACGGCCTCGAGGGACGGCATGTCAAGGCCGAGCAGGGCGAGCAGGGCGAGGCGGAGCACCAG